AAGAGCAGGGCAGGATTCTGAGAAAGGTAAGAAGTTAGTAAGGCCCGACCCCACCCTCAGTGTGCTCACAATCTGGAATAAGTGAAAAGACTTAACAAATTCAAGATAAGGCACCGTAAGATCCCTGAAAGGAGACAAGAGTAGTGAGCCAGCACGGCAGAGACCAGGCTGAGCACCAGGGCTATTCACACACTGAGTGTAAGGGGGAGGAAGGGCCTTTTAAGGATGGAAAGGAACAGAGGGCCCAGATGAGCTCAGTGTAAAGGAAATGCCAGATGTACCCAGATTCTACATTTCTCTTCAGGTCTTTTCCTGAATTGTGAGTCACTTTGCTTAAACTTAGTAAGACTCTCTCTCTATTCTTTACTGATCAGTGTCATTTTGATTAAACAGAGAAAAAAGCCATAGTAACCTCCTGGGGAAAGTTATAGACTTGGTCTCCACTGACCTGTCCTATAGGTGGAAATTCCCAAATTACTCTGCAGGGTGCTGGGAACATTATCAGCCTCTAACAGCCTGGGGTCCTAATCTAACACCTGCCCAGCGAGGGTAAATGTCACTATGGACTGTGCTGAAGGTGCTCAGGAGATTCCGCCGGGATCAGAGAAACTGCATAATGACAAAAGCCTACAAGAGCTTCATGAACAAGAAACACCACGGAGCCATGAAATTGAGAAATTCACATTCCTCCCCCCTTTGCAAGTGACAAAATATCAAGGCACAAATTTTATGTGGTTTCCATTGAGACTCCAATACCTGATGTTAGAAAGACCAATAAGATTTCTTCTCAAAGCCACAAAAGGAAAATAGAGAAAAGACTGGGAATTTGCAGAGCCAAGAATTGAAAAAGGCTCAATTGCATCTTGATTTTTCTTTAATGATTCATTCTATTCATATCATATTCAAAATGTAGCATCCTGAATATGTATTTTTATAAATAGTCTACATCTAAGTTTAAAACAATGGAAAATTGATTAATGTGTTTCTTATTTCATTGTATACCCATGATGTTCAGAAGATGGAACCAGAGCAGGCTATGCTCTCACCATTGCAGGAAGGGTCCATGAGGG